TGCTTTGGGCCAATCCCTTTTGGGTTGACTTTTGCCCACGAGGGGATGGGTAACTTCAGGTATTTGATTTAAAAGTTATATTCTCTGTTTTCTGTATTGTATATTTATTGTACTAAAGTCCCTTTTCATTAAAGTTTTATATGTTTTGTCATGTTGTGGTGGATGGCAGAACCCACTTAGAGCAGGCAGGTTTGGGGCTTCATGGGTGTCCCTCTCTCCCTGTCCTCTAACAGATTTTGCCCTGTAACACTAGCACTGAGACTTAACTCCTAGCCACCAGGAAGGCCATACAAACACTTCTTTGCATGGATCCCAAATTATATAATTCAACCCCTAATGTCATTAGGAAGCACCTGCAGCCATTAGCTACTTGTTAAAATATACCTACACCCACACAGGGTCACCCCAGAAGGGCATAAGCACCTGTTGACACCCAGGCACACACAAAGATGTGTTGTTGATATCCCACCGACAGGCGCGTTGACTGCTGTGTTCGCCTGAACATAGGAGACTGGGAGCCACAAGAAGGTGAAATGGGAGTCTGCAGTCTGGAGTCTGGAATCTGTTTATTAGGACTGTTGCAGGGCACCCCAATGTGAATTGGGTTGCCTGTCGGTTGGTCCTCACCCACGCTCACTATTCAATCGTATTATGGACACACTCAAAAAGGTTAAATAATGGTTTTATTTATAAGGAGAAGGTAAGGGAATAACCCAGGGAAAGAGGGAGAGAAATACAAGTTAACTAGAATGCCCTACCAGTTCTGCTGACTTGGACTCCACCGGCACGCTGAAAACTGAAAACTGATAGAGAACCAAAAGGATCAGCCGCGAACCACCAGGCCAAGAGACCCCCGGAGCCCACATGTCCGGTTTTATCCCAACCTGACTGCTCAGCTCCGCCCTCACGTCCCAGTGTGCTTCTCCTTGGTATTGATGGGATTAGTAGTTCCAGTATCTGGAGTGGGGGCGGAGTCCATGAAACCTGTACCTGTTACAGGACCACCCATGGGTATGTATAGGGTCTGATATGCCTTGTACAGCTGGGGCTGGGGGTGGATGTAGGGGGGAGCAGGAAGTGTACCTGAAGTGGGGGTGGGGTGCATGTTTGCACGGAACCTGGGGCTTCCTGCAGCTCCTACTTGAAACAAAGTAGTGGGCTGCAGTTATTTGCAGGACAGAGTTGCACTGTGCTCTGCTGACTTGTTTGTTGGCCTCACTGGGGAGTGTGCTCACCCATGCACAACATTAGCCAGGGCGGACAGGTGCACTTGAGGTCCTGTCGAGTTAGCCACAAAGTTGTTCTTGAGTATATATGCTCTACACAGGCTCACATCACCCATGTAGTCATTCACATGTGTATATGTGCCTGTGTAACAGGAACTCTGGATCTTGTTCTCTTACACACACACACACACATACCAAGTAGTGCAGGCCCTTTAACCCTTTAACTTCCGAAGACTAGACAAAACCACCTCTTCTGGGTAGGAGGTGTGTGCACACCATGTAGGGGCCAAAGGGATCACTAGAGAAGGACCTGTCCTGAGGGTGGGCAGCAAACTCTGCCAGGGATGGACCAGGAGGACAGAAGAGTGTTGAGGAGCTGAGAAGTCCTTCAGCTGGGGGACAGGCCTGTAGGAAGAAGGGGTGAGAAGGGATGTGGCTGGGTACTGTGGCATTCTGGTTCCCAAAACGGGGCCAGGAGCTTGTCTTTAGAGCTCCCAGTGTCCCTTCTGCCTTTGTCTATCTCCTGGCCAAATGTCACCCAAAACCATTTCAGCTGCCACTCCCCAGGAAGCCCTCCTTTATCATCTCCCAGGCTACCTCTCTCCTTTGTGCCCCAAGACCCTGTGTTTGCACTGCTGGGAGGATGCTCATCTCCCAGGCACTTCCTTCCTTCATGCCAGCTCTCTGCCTTCCTCATCCTGATCCGCAAGGCCAAGTTCAAAACCCCTGGCCTAGCTACAAACAGCTTCCCCTGTCTTGCTGAGATTTCCTGGGATCAACGCAAATTAGAAACGAGCCACTGGCTGTCAAATATGAGCTCTTCTTAGCCTAGAGGACATCTTGGCCTAGCTGGGAGAGATCTCACAGCTCAGTCAGACCAAAGCCCGTGCTGTGTATGAGGAATCATAGAGACCAGAGAGGGAAAGGGGCTTGCCCAATATCATGCAGTGAGTTAGAGAGCGGGACCAAGACCCAGTAGTTGCCTGAAACTCCTCACCCCTACCCTGGCCCCTTCCTCTGTCCCACACCCCCACTTTTTCAATCACCTTCAGCTCTTCCAGATCCTTGTCCCTGGCTCCCTGGAAGATGCTTCAGAGACCAGAAAACTTCTCTGGCTGGAGCTCAGAGAACACAAGTCAGAACATTTGCCTGAGCACCACTCCAAACGTGCAGGATGCGGGTTTTCACGGTGACCCCAACTTTCCAAACTGAGAAAACATGCCTGGAATTTTCACAGAATTCAGTGAAGTGTTGACAAGATGATAAGATTAAGTGGAGCGTTTAGGATTTGGTGGAATTGGACAAAATGCTTAGAATTCAGTGGGACCCTCTGAAGTGGGCATGGTTGGGTAGCATTAGGAAGTTCTGGGGGGTTCAAGGCTGAACTGTGGCAGCCAGGGACTCGCCAACCCGGGGAACACTCAGCTCCAGCCTGGATGAATGGAGGAGGAACCGTTACAGTCACTGTGTGCCAAGAGCCTATGCAATCCTCAAGGCAATTCAGAGGGAGAAGGGAGAATGTGCCCACCTCAGAAACCTTGGGGTGCATCAGGGATGATATCTCAATGACCCAACTCCATAGAGCCTCTTTAGAAATCTTAACTGGAGTGGAAAAGTCTGAGAAAGTGGCTGAGGGCCAGGGATCTGCCCGCACAGTGCTAGCCCAGGCCATGAGGGCCAGTGCTGGTGCAGGAAGGTCTATGGAATGAAGAAATGGGAGAATGGAGGAGCAATGACGTGAGCGCATAAGCAATTCTCGACGGAAGCCTTTCCAAAGCATTGAGTGGGGAATGAACCAGGATCAAGTGACAGGCAGAGTTGCTTTCCAGGAAGAGCCAGAAGTCTTGGTTCAACCCTCCAGGGATCTTAAGAAAGCACAGAATCTAGAATGAGTGTAGTAGGGGCGTGAACTGGATGGAGAACAACAGGCAGAATCAGAACATTGAGCAGCAAAGTCTGTGTAGGACCCTAGACCTGTCCTCACTGCCTGGAGAGGACAGAGCTGCCTGGAAAGGGGAAGGGCTGGCTCAGTGTCTCCACGGAGGCCGGCACAGCCCTGGGCTCCTCTGTGACATGGGATTCTTTCCCAAGTCCATGCAAAGTGAATCTGACCAGGTCAGGTAGCACCTGGTGCTCTCACTCCACTTGGCCCTCTGACACTTCTTTTTTTTTTTTTTTTAAAGATTTATTTATTCGTGCATACAGAACTGGGGTACAGGCCAGAGGCTCGGGGCGGTGAGAGGCTTCACCAGAGACAGAGTGGGGAGCAGAACAGGCAGATCGACGAAGTACACTGCTGAGGGGAGCAGCGGGTGGGTCAGGAGAGGTCTGCCACACCATGTGGTCACCTCTGGGGCAGGCGGGAATCGAACTCATGCGGAAGCGGCTTTAGCTTCTCAGTGCAGTGCTTTAACCCGCTGTGCCACCAGGGAGGGCCTCTGGCACTTCTTTTTATTAAAATTTTTTTTTTAACTTTAAAATTTTCTTCCATTGTTCATTTTTGTACAATATTTGATTTCTCCACTCAGGGATAAGTCCCGTAGCTTTCTCACCACCTCTGTAATGCAGCAAAACCTTGTGCTCTTCCCTCCCGGTGTTGACCACTCTCCCCCGCCCTCTCAAGCTGTCAGCCTCAGGTCTATAATTTGTCTGCAACTTTTGTCTTAGCTATTGTAAATAGTGCCGCAGTAAACACAGGAGTGAAGGTGCCTTTTCAAAGTGAGGTTTTTGTGTTCTTTGGGTAGATTCCTACAAGTGGAATCTCTGGGTTATGGGGAAGCTCCAATTTTAGTAGTTTGAGGAAGCTCCACAGAGCTTTCCATAGTGGCCACACCAGTTTATATTCCCACCAGCAGTGTAAAAGGGATTCTACATCCCTGCCAATATTTGTTGCCAGGTTTTTTTGTTTTGTTTTGTTTTGTTTTTTATAAATATGTGTCATTCTCACTGGTGTTTGGTGATATCTCATTGTGGGTTTTGATTTATATCTCTCTGATTGTAAGTGATGTTGAACATTTTTTTCATATGCCTCTTGGCTGTTTGCATTTCCTCTTGGAGAAGTGTCTCTTTAGCTCTTCTGCCCATTTTTTGGACTGGATTATTATGTTTTTGTTGAGTTATGTGTGCTCTCTCTCTCTTGCTCCCTTTTAATTTGTATTTTGGAGTCCCAGTTTTATTTTTATTTTTTTAAAGATTTGTTTACACATACAGAACTGGGGTACAGGTCAGAGGAAATGAAAGAATTCACCAGAGACAGAGTGGGGAGCAGAACAGGCAAACCGACAAAGTACACTGCCGAGGGGAGCAGCGGGCGGGTCAGGAGAGGTGTGCAGGTGTCATGGGGTCAGCTCCCTGGCGTCAGCTCTCTGGCGGATGGAATTGGATGCAGCTAGCTTCATAGCGCCATGCTTTAACCCTTTGCTTCACCAGGGAGGGCCTCTGAATTGTGTGAGCTCTTCGTAGAGCTTTGATATCAGTCTTGAATCGGTTGTATGGGGAGGAAATGTTTTCTCCCATTCTGGTGTCTATCTATTTTGGTTATTATTTCTTTTGCTACACCAAGCATTTTAGTTTGATATAGTTCTAGCTGTTCATCTTCTCCTTTATTTTTTTTGCTTTTGGGGATGAGTCCTTAAAGATGTTTCTGAGACTTATGTCATGTAGTATTTTGCCTATATTTTCTTCTGTGTAAGAAGATCTTACATTCAAGTTGGCTTTTGTGTGTGCTGTGAGGTAGTAGTCTAGCTTCATCCTTTTCCATGTGGCTGTCCAGTTTCCTCAGCACCATTTTTTGAAGAGACTTTCCTTGTTCCAGAACACATTGTTTGCTCCTTTGTCTTAGATCAGTTGACCCCATATATATGGCATTATATCTGAGTTTTCAGCTTGACTCCATTGGCTGTTTGTTTGTTTTTGTTCCAGTACTGTACTGTTTTAACTATCACCCTACTCATCTGCTTGAAGACTCTTCCTTGAGCGTCCCTCTAGTGCTTAGTGTCCCTTCTTCTCAGGCTTCAGGGTGCTTGTACTAAGTAGAGTCACTTCATTTTGGAACTAAGTGTTGTTAACTTTTAAAATTAAAATGCATTTTATTAGCTTGAATTTTTTTTTTATGTTGCTGAAATCCAACATATTAGCTTGAATTTTGCGGACATCATTGTGGAACATTCATATAAAAATGTGAAGAATGCAAGAGTCTATAGGGGAAAAGGGACACTCACTCTCCATTCCCCCACTCTCCAAAAGTAACATGTATTATTAGTTTTGTATCTGTCTAAATACTTTTCTGGTCATTTTAATGTAATCATCTACACAAATAAATAGACTTTGTGAACATAGATAAGTATGACTTTTAAGTATGCTCTTTTGTTGCAGTCTTTGAAGATAAGTGATATATATGTTTCAATCATATAATTTGATGGAACCATTACCACAAATCAAGATTATGAATTTTTCTGCTATCTTCAAAATTTCCTCATACCCATTGGCAATTGACCCCTCCCTCCCTCTCCCAAGTCACCAATGATTTGCTTTTTTAAAAAAATTATTTATGCATACAGAACTGGAGTACAGATAAGAGGTGCAGGGGCGGTGAGAGGATCCACCAGAGATTAGAGTGGGGAGCAGAACAAGACGACTGAGGAAGTACATTGCTGAGGGGAGCAGCGGGTGGGTCAGGAGAGGTCTGCTGCATTATGTTGTTACTTCCAGGGGCGGGGATCGAACTCATGCTGAAGTGACTTTAGCTTTTTAGTGCTGTGCTTTAACTTGCTGTGCCACTAGGGAGGGCCCAATTTGCTTTTTTTAGGTATAGATTTTATGACACTTCATAGAAGTGGGATTTTATAGAATATACTCTTTAAAGTATGACTTTCTTCAC